CAATGTCGTAAAACAATATGTGTACTACTGTTTCATGAGAAACTATTTGTTCTGTAAGCCTTCACCTGAAGTACAATAAAATAAAATAAAAAAATGGGAAAAAATTTTCTAATAATATTTGGCTCACCTCAATATATACTGACTACTAAAGCACTGTAAGACTGGTGAGGAGCACTATATTTTAGAGGCACTTGACTAAAGTAAAATGGCTGATTTAAAGTCAGGACCCAAACCCCATCTTTGACTCTAGCTTTAACTACAGAATCAGCTGACCTTTGTAACAGAAGCTAGAGCTGCTTACTAAGTTGTTTTTCTCTGTGGCCAGCCCAGGGCTGGCATACATTGTCTCCAGGATATTGATGCAAATGGTTATCAAATCTTTAGTACAAAACATCCTCAGAAAATGTTCTGGCTTAAGTAACCTATTCTAAGAATCAGTTCTCGGGATATCTACCTTGTAGTCATCCTGTGACTACACAAAGACCACCCCCAGGAAGATATGTTCATATATGGAATGGGTTCCTGTGAGTCATCACATGTGAAAGTCTTATGACCATATCCTGCAATTGTTTTTTCTTGTCAACCAATCCCATCTTGCCAAATGTGACTTTGTAGTCAATGACATCCAAAGCGCCACTTCTCAATGTCCCGCCTTTGATTATCTTACCTTACTGTCCACCAATCAGATCATTATGGGTTGTACCTCCTGATTTTGCCCTATAACTTGGGTTCTGTAGCAGTCCCACCTTGGATTCGCTGGTTTCACTTGGGTGGAGCCCATGTTTCCCCATATGAATGATTCTTAATACTTTCAGTGAACCTCTTTATTTTACTTTAAGCAAACTTGGAGTTTTTCCTCTGCAACAAGATACTGCTACAAAACTTTGATGTATTATTCAGCCATAGAGAAATGAAATTCTAATACATGCTATGACATGGATGAACCTTGAAAACATTATGCTGAGTGAAATAAATCAGACACAAAAGGACAAATATTGTATGATCCACTTCAATGAAGTACCTAGAATAGACAAACGCATAGATACAAATGTTTATTAGTGGTTACCAGGGACTGGGGAGAGAAGGGAAGGAATGTTACTGCTGAAGGGGTATTTTCTGTTTGCGGTGATTTAAAAATTTTGGAAATGGATGGTGTGATGGTTGAGGTTGTGTGTCAACTTGTTTGGGCCATAATGCTCAGTGGTAATGTAACGATGTAGTCATCTTCCATTCTGTGATCTGATATAATCATCCTCTATTTTGTGATCTGATGTGAGCAGCCAATGAGTTGAAAAGGAAGTTTCCTTGGGGGTGTGGCCTGCATCCAATATATATGGACATTCTGGCAAAGCTCACTCACTTGCTCGGGATTCTGCATCTGGCTTGTTATCATCTGACCTTTGGTTCTTGGGACTTGAGCCAGCAGTTTGCCATATTATCTGCCAATCTTGGGATCTGTCAGCCTCCGCAGCCTTTGAGCCAGCAGCCCGCCATCTTACCTGCTGATCTTGGATTCATCTGCCTCTACAGCACATGAGTTAGGAGAAGCCTCCAGCCTGACACTTGACCCACAGACTTGGAACTTGCCAGTCTCTACAACCGCGTGAGCCATTTCCTTGAGATAAATCTTTCTATATATATTTCTATATATACACTTCACTGGTTTTACTTCTCTAGAGAACCCAGCTTCAGAGAGATAGTGATGATGGTAGCACAACATGGTAAATGTAATTAATGCTACTGAAGTGTACACTTAAAATGGTTAATAATGCAAACTTTTTGTTATATATATTTTACCACAATAAAATTTTTAAAACTAAAGTCTGAAAACCACTGGGAGAAGTCTCAAGGTCCTTCCCAACTCCCTGACACTATTATTGCCTATCAATCCCCTTGCAAAGCCTTATCCGATTATCACATAATTATCACTTTAAAATACTTTAAATTACACTAAAATTACCCCTCCTTGCTCTGTCTCTCTCTCAAGCTGTCATCATAACCAATATCTCAAACTCTAAAATTGTTCTCTTGCTTTCAACTCTTTTTAATCCTCAGTCTCCCACTTCCACTGAACCTGCTTCTTCCTCTTCTCCATCTAAAATCCATTTATCCCTACCAATTACCCGATCTGTCAACTCCTTTCCTCAAATTTCTCAGCCTCTCTACAGCATTCCACCTGTTTCCATGACATGGCACCATCCTAATGCCTTCACTGAATCAACCTCCCTCCTGTACCATTAATGCAGGTGACTGTAAAGGCTCTCTTCTTGCTTCTACCTGCTCTCTCTCTACAATCACATTCACTTCCACAGCTTCAACTCTGCAAATAGCTCTCAATCCTAAATCTCTTGCCTTAATCTGCAAACTAAACATCAAACTACAATTCCAGCTGACAACAAGGTAGCTCCACCTGTATGTTCCACCTTTTCAAATTCATCCGTGAATCAATACTGAAGAATGCACAGAAAAAGGACAATAGCTCAAAGTATGTAAGTGCATAGACTTGCACAATATAAAAAATGTGTACCATATGTTTATGCAACCTTCTACATTTGTTAGCCAGTTGTGCCCTCCCTCCTCGAGGTATTTTTGTAAGCATGCTATGCTAATTTTTTTTTACAGCAACAGGTGGAAGAAGACTGGCATGGCAGCACTTGTGAGGGTGCCTTGCAAGGGGAGGGTGCAGCCAGCAAATAAATGCAGATGGTACGCATTATTTGAATAAAAATACAGAAGACCTTTGGCATCTTTTTTAACACATAAATATTATAGTACCTAGATCTCATAATTGGAGCCCTGGCGGTGCAGTGGTTAAGAGCTATGGCTGCTAACCAAAAAGTCAGCAGTCAGAATCCACCAGTCGCTCCTTGGAAACCCTATGGGGAAGTTCTACTTTGTCTTATAGGGTCGCTACGAGTTGAAACTGACTCAATGGCAATGCGTTTAGATCTTATAAAGGAGTCTGATGGTGCGATGGTTAAGTGCTCGGCTGCTAACTGAAAGGTCAGCAGTTCAAACCTACCAGAGGCTCCATGGAAGAAAATACCTGGCAATCTGCTTCCATAATGATTACAGCCTAGGAAACCCCTATGAGGCAGTTCGACTCTGCATACAGGGTCACTATGAGTTGGAATCAGCTCGATGGCACACAACAACAACAGACCTCATGGGTTAAGTATTAAGTTACTTAATTCATATAAAGTGCTTAGAACAATGCCTGACACACAATAAACACTACAGAAGTGTTTGCTTCTATAAGTGTTTGCAATAAACACTATAGAAGGACATTAAGATATAATATTCAATATTATACGTGAATACTATCCACATTATACATAATACATAATGCATACACAATATGCATTTGTATTATACACTTGATATATTTCATGATTTGGGGCTGGACATCTCAGTATGTCAAAGAAAGGAACATATTCACATGCATCTGAAATAATAAATAATACAATGTTAGCCAGTGCTGATGTACTGGATGAAAAAATAAATAAGGTATTGAAGATAGGTTTATTTTAGGCTCTTGAAGAAACAGTGCTATATTAAACACACTGTGCCAGTGCCAAACTAATACCACTTCCAATCATACTCCATGCCAAAGGAGGATGACTACTGTACCAGATTGGTCAATTATACTGATCTAGCACATTTCGTAGGGCAAAGCCTTAGCAAGAGGAATGTAAATTAGGTTTGTACCAAAATATCATGCTTTCTCACTGCTTTTCTCTAGTTAATTCTGTTGGCAAGAGTGCTTTAGATATTTAATACCATCATACAAAATAAAACAACTTCACTAGCAAAAAATGACCATACCATGGAATATAAAATCAAAACTACAAAAGTAGTTTTCCTCTGAAATAAAGCACTTAGTCTGCATGCTCTCTCTCTCTCAAGCTGTCATAACCATGATCTCATGGCTCAGAATGTTTGTTATTTGTTCATTTGTCTTGTCATCTACCAACTAAATGCAACAAATAGTACCAGTAACATATGTTTTTAAATTTTATTAAAAAAAAAAAGGTTTTAAATTGAGAAAATTCCATCAATTAACCAAGCTTTTTCTATAATGTGGAAGGGTGTGGGAATATAACTACAGCACCAGATTGCACAAAACCTTACTTTACTGAGATACGTTCATTCAATTCACATATACATACTGAGCACTTAGTACGTACCAGGAATAGTCTGAGAACCCTAGGAAATACTCCTGGGCTTAGTCCTAGCAATGCCAAAAAGCCCCAAATCATCAAGGTCTGGATATACTTGACTAGGCCTGTTTCACTAGACATACACTAGCTTAAAATTAAGTGCCTAGACCAGAATTTAAACTAAACTGGCCTGCAGAAACAGGTGAAAACTCAGCAAGTTTACCATCATTCAGCCAGGTGAATTAATCTCAATTTATGCTTTTCACATTCTCAACCAAAAATCCAAAGCTAGGATTATGTCTACTTTTTATTCTCTTTTACCTACATTTAAGATTATGGACGTTTTTATTAAAAGAAAAATCTAATGATACTTAAATATCTTGTGTTGCATTTGAAAGTAACTGAAGAGTATATGATTCTTTTACAACAAAAGGAATCATGAATCAAAATGTACCTCAATATTTTTACTGGCCACATTCTTTACAACAGCAGGAAACAGTTCCGATGCATTTTTCCCTTTTGCCATCATCTGAAAAATAAAAGTATAATATTAGGGCTGAAACTTTTTTAAAATTCATAATTTGAAAACAAAACAGATATTCTGGGAAATTCTACATACATTAAATATATATAAGGTTGGATCAACAAATAAGCTGCGGGAATTAAGTAGCCATACTCTTTTCGAGATATACAACTTATTCCAACTTTCAGGTGGAAAGAACAAAAACTCTCTAGTGTAGCAATATAAATATGCAAGTACACAGACATATTAAGGAACAAATATAAAGCAATTTAAGACATACACTAAAATATTTACAATAGTTTTTTCTAGCTAATGGGATAATAAATACTTTTTTAAGCATCTGAGCAGTTCTTTATTTTCCAAGTTTCTTACATTAAAGAGGTGCTGCATTTGCAATAGTGAGAGAAATAAATGTTATTTTGAAAAACCAATTTTTCCTTTGCTTTCTTTTCATAGGTTCCCCTACTTCTCCAACTATTAGTTTTCAAAAGTCTTTTCACTGAGTCCTCTTTCTCTGCTCCCTAAGGTTCTATGCACCATCTTTTCAGGCTATGCTGTTCTACACTTTCTAAAACTGCTAAAGATTTCATTTATCCTCACAAATAACCCTCACCTCTATGGGGATCAATTCCCCAAACTCTAGCCCTAAACTCAATTCTCAGCATTAGGTCCACGTCTCTAACAAGTATCACTAGATGTCTCTTTCATCCCACAACTGTCATGTCTAAAACCAAACTCATCTTTCATGGTGAAATGATTTTCATGTTAGAATTTCCTATTTCTACCAATTTGCTCAGATACCAGAAACCATGGAAATATTGTGGATTCTTCTCAAATCTAAATAGGAACTCCAAAACAAAAGCAGTTGCCACAGAGTTGATTCAACTCATGGTGACCCCATGTGTTCCAAAGTAGAAATGTACTTCATAGAGTTTTCAAGGTTGTGATCTTTTGGAAGCAGAATGCCAGGTCTTTCTTCTAAGGCTCCGCTGGGTGGGTTCAAATCACCAACCTTTCAGTTAGTAGTCCAGCACTTAACCATTTCCATCACCCAGGGACTTCTTAGCAGTAACTTTTGTTCTGTGCCATTGAGTTGATTCTGACTCATAGCAACCTTATATGACAGAGTAGAACTGTCCCATAGGGTTTCCCCTATGGGAATCTTTACAAGAGCAGATCACCAGGTCTTTTCTCCCATGGAGCCACTGGTGGGTTTGAATCGCCTCCTTTTCAGACAGCAGCCAAGTGCTTAACCATTAGACCACCAGAGCTCCTTAAACAGTAACTAGGTCTTGGTCCACTCATATTAATCCCTTCTCATTGCTACTATCATAGCACAGATAAATATCATCTCCATAGGACTTTTCTACAGTTTCCTCCTCCTATCTATAATGTACATCACTGAAATTTAACACGCTTAAAACACTACCTTGCATACGTCGAAGATTTCAAAGGTTTCTAACCGTCTAGAGTCCAAGCTATTTGACTTAATATTCAAATGCCCTCACAATTTAACAAATGACATCCCTTTCTAAGCTCATTAACCATTATTCTTCTACAATGATACTATTAGCCAAGAAAATTGATCAACTCACCACCAGGTCATGCCTTTGCTCATATGACGTTTCCAATCAAATTCTTTCCACTTTCCTAAGTTCTACCCTTCAATCTAGAGCATTCTCAAATTCTACTCATTCTTCTTTGCAAGAGCCATCTCCTAACATCACTGTGGCATCCTAATCCTAACTTCCTCTAGAAATTTTTAATCTCTATTTTTCCACTGGAATTTCCTATGTGCTGTCTTGTATTTCTATATATTTCAGTTTTATGTCTCCATTCCTATTTCCTTTCCTTCATCCCTATTCCCAGAATATACCTTTATGTCTTTTGATAGTTCAGACTTTGGTGACCAAAAAATAAAGTTCAAACTACGGGTTAATTTTTAGAAAAGGGACTCTTTATGAATCAAACATCATATTAGGAAACTACCCAGAAAAGATAACGGTATTATCTTTATTAATTTACAACAAATTTTATAGAAATACTATGTGATAGTTAAAGCACACTTAAAGTATGTAATCCCAGTTAGCAATTTCTCAGAAGACTTTTCTCCTTAATGATAGCTTTAAAATTATTTCTAATTTAAGCTAGATTTTTTAAATAAATTCTGTTTCCTTATCTGTGACATTCTTCTGAATATTTTGTATTTTTTTTGAAATACTGCAGCTAAAACATCTTTATACGATTTACACACTTCTCTCAATTTCTTCATCTGGAAAGTAAGAATAAATCCAAACCAAATCCACTGCCATCGAGTCAATTTTGACTCACAGCAACTCTGTAAGACAGAGTAGAACTGTCCCATAGGGTTTCGAAGGCCCTAAATCTTTATGGAAGCAGACTACCACATCTTTCTCATGCGGAGCTGCTGGTAGGTTCAAACTACCAATCTTTCGGTTAGCAGCCGAGGGCTTAACCACTACACCACCAGGGTTCCTCCCAAAGTAAGAATATCCAAAACCAAATCCACTGCCACAGAGTTGGAATTCCGACTCACAGCAACCTCATAGGGTTTTCCAAGGCTGTAAATCTTTACCGAAGCAGATTGCCACATCTTTCTCCCACAGAGCCAATGGTGGTTTTGAACTGCCGACCTTTCGGTTAGCAGTTGATCACTTTACCCACTGTACCACTAGGGCTCCTCCATGCCTCCAAGGACTGTAGATAGTCATGTCTTTATTATTCTAGGCTAAAAGAAAACTTATTACACGTTCACCATTCATATAATGAAATAAAGATTAATTTTTAAAGCAGTTATTCTAACGAAGCAATACATCTCAAATTCTTAGCTCACCACAGTTCAACAACCCAAGGTAAAACACGGACATCTGCTATAAACACTAGGCAAATACTTTTCAGAAACATCAAGTAAAGTAATATATGTGTGTTTCGACTTCAGTCCTGCTGTGTAATAACTGAATGTAAGATTTTTAACTTGGCAGCTTTTCTCCCCTAAGGATACTTTGATATACATGAGACTTTATTCAACATGTGCAACAGTGAAGACATTACTCCACGATTCTTAAGAAGCCCTAGATATTACCAAAGAAAGATAATAAAATGAAATGTGAGTATCATTATGGCTCCTCACTGCCAGCTATTGCTGGTAAGATTCTCTGCTGAATCGTAGGACTACCAGCTGTGAAAGATAGTAAGTTGCGCACTGCCAGCATTTTGATATATTTTAGAATGTAATGTGGTAAAACAAACACATAGCATTTAATATCCTGAAGCTGAAAATTTAGAGATGTATAAATGTTGTTAGCTACGAAGCAAAGACCTTAGAACTACATTGTGATCATAAGAGATGATAACACCCTACATTCAAGGCTCATTAATCCCAAATTATAAAGAGGAATTCCAATTTTTCAAATTACATTTAAAAAAGACAAGAAATTGATGCCAACATTAAAACTCTGCTGACTGACCTCCAGTAAACTACTTCTACTCAAAAGATGTTTAAATACACACACACACACACACACACACACACACACACACACACACACACAAAACACAGAGTTTTTAAAACGAATTTAAAAGCTTCCAGAAAAGGAAAATGTCGCTAATTAGAAATACAATTTAAAAACAGACAAAAGTAATGGATAACAAACAACTGTTGTAAGAGCAGGCTGAGAAAACTATTTCAAGCAAAATGAAGTAACTATTAATTATTTAATAAAAAAAAGACACTAGCAAAGAATAAAAGGAAATGGAAATTTCAATTATAACATTCAATAGCATCCAAAAACACAAAATACAGAAAATATTAACAAAACTTATAATTTAACAGTAAAACTACAATTCGTGCTTAGAGAAATGAAAGACAGCCTAGATAAATGAAAGATATGCCACATTTATGGCTCGTAAGACCAAATTTTGTTAAAATGTCAATTCTCCAAAAATTGATCTATGAATTCAATACAATCCCAATATAAATTACAGTAAGGTTTTTTTTTTGTTGTTGTTGTTGAAACTGAAAAGTTGACTCTAAGATTTAAACAGAATGCAAAAGACATAGAATAAACAAAACAATCTTAAAAAAGAGTAACATTGAAGGACTTTAAACTATTTAATTTTTAGGCTATAGAAATCAAGAATGAGGTACTGTGAAAGGACAGAAACAGAAGAGAGATTTCAGTTGTGGACCCACATACACATGATAAACTAATTTTTACTAAAGGTTGAAATTCAGTGCAGAAAGGCTATAACCTTTTAAACAAATGGTACAGGAGTTGGGAGGATTGGACTGTCATTTGTTAAAAAGAAACCTAGGCTCTTACCTCACACCATACGTAAAGATAAATGCAGAATGGATCCTAGACTTAAATGTAAAAGCTAAAACTATAAAGACTCTAAAAGAAAACAGGGAAATCCTCTGCAAACTTGGAGCAGGCCAAGATGGATTAGGTAACAAAAGCACAAACTATAAATGGGGAAAAAAAAATTAAATTAGACTCCATCAAAATTAAACTTCTGCTCTACAAAAGTAACCACTAAAAGAGACTTCCGGGCAACATGGCGCTATAGTCAGAAGCACCACACCATCCTCCCACAGGAAAGATCAGAAAAACTAAGTCAAACAGAGTCACACGTCAATCCTGAAACCCCAAGCATCAAATGAAGAGATAAAGAACTCAGCCAAGCACCGAATGGAATAAGAAACTGACCGAGAACAGAGAGCGAGGAGAGATACATGCAGAGGTCCCCTATAAGCTACCGCAGCACGGATCTGCCATCTTGGACTCCTATCGGAGATCAGCGAACCAGGGGTATGAGAAAGCAGCTTCATGGAGCTTCCAGCAGGAGACAGAACAACCGGTAACCAGTGATATACGCTTTCCCACCACCCACCCTTCTTCACCCCTACTCAGCCACTTCTGCTTCCTGCGGTCATCTCTTGGCTGGGAAGCAACAGCGTCACCCTGGTGTCACTTGGATTCTAC